AAGAAAATGTCTGTGGGGAGGGGGGAGGATGTTGGTTGGGTGGCAATAGATGGAGGCTAGGAAAGAGGATGGGGCAAAACGGAAATCGTAGCTCAAACAAAAGAAATTAGGAAACAAGTACGAGAAGTCTGGGATATTTGTAGGATCATTGGTTACTTTCTCGCTACTACATACGCAGTTGAGAGAAAGTATTGTAATGCTGCGGTAAAAAACGGCCAGTAACGTGGATGAGTCTTGTCCCTATGTAAAATAAATTACCTCCTCTAACTTGTCAGAATCCGTTTCTTGGGCCCTTGGCACCGAAAAATCAATTGACGGCAAAACGTATGTCCGTCTGTGAAAAATGCTTGCGGTTAAACCGTAAGTAGGATATCTCTCAAATTGATATTCCCTAATCAGTCTGGCTGAAGTCGCGGCCCCTTGAATTTGCAAAATTTTAATTTTGGGAGTACTTTACATAAAGCCCGTGGGACATTTAAAAAATGGCACCGAAATTTTTGATTTAATTTTGACCTTCGCGTTAGAGTAAAGGACGCTCAAGAGAATGGTGCAGGTCTAATTTTCGTTAAAATCCCAAAATTTTCGAAAATTACAAGGATTCAAAATTCAAGGAATCTTCCTACAACTACAATTTTGAAAGTAACGTTGTTCTTAATGAAATGTGTTCATCAGAAATAAAATGTCTTGTTCAAGTTTTGGAAAATATTTCGAGCATTTTTTGCATAATTTTGCATCTTATGCATTGTTTACTTCCTCGTATACACGTTCATATGGAGTTATATAGTGTAGTGCAGAGAAAGTTTTGTAATGCGGCGTAAGATCAGTTTCGAGATTTCAACGGATATACACGTTTTGGAGTCCCCGAGAGTACAGAAAAGGTTTTTTTCGTATCCTCGCTTCAAAATCCGTATTTGGCAGAGCATTTATATGACACAACGGTGAGCTTTGGCGGTCTATGCAAAGAATGAAATTTTAGAGGACGATTACCATGGCAACGTCAAGTACACAATACAATGTACAAATGACTATTGACACATTCGCTAAGAATATTTATTTTTCGAGTACAGAATGTTTTAAAGCATTTATTATTAACATTTATTTTTAAAAAAAGCCTGGTTTCTCCCACTGTCAGGTAGCAGTTGACTGCTGTCTTCACCTTTTGATATATCTAACTTTTCAGTGCTCATTATTCCTTAGATCACGAGCAAAATCCATAATTTTTTTACAATATGTGGAACTATAAGTAGAACGTTTAAAAAGAAAGCACGTAAAGAAACCCAGTTAAATGATATTATGACCCTCTCAGTTCTACTGTATGGATGTAAAACCTGGATTCAAAAACAAGGTTTTAGGAGGATTGATTCCGCAGACATACGATTTTTGATAGGAGTAAAGGGCTATATATTAAGAGACCAAATAAAAAGTGAGAAAGTAAGAGAGGAACTAGGGCGGAAAGAAACAATCCGTGACAAAATTAAGTACAGATGGTGTCCCGGTATTGAAAATATGCCGCAAGGTACTTCCAGTGCAAGCCCTGAATTATAAACTGAGAGGAAAGAGAAACATTGGAAGGCCAATAATGGGATGAAAAGAGGCAATATGCCTAATCGGTAAAGGAAGATTATTTATGTTAAAACAATTTGATATATTCTAAAATATTATACCTGAAACTGATACGTCTTACGTGCATTGAGTTTGAACGGAAATTGAAATTATACATTTTCATACAGATGTGCCAGAATAGTTGTTTCATTTACCTCGGTTACACGGTTCTCTCTCTGCCATTTTTAAAAGAGTTGATAATATTTCATATGAATATTTTGATTTTTGCGGGAATAAACACTAAGTAGCAACTTGAGCTTCCTCAATTACAGTAAAATATCTAAACCGGAAACTGAACATGCCGGAAACCTGCCGTAACCGAAGTATTTTTCAGGCCCGTGAAGTTAAACGGGATTTTACACAGAATAAAATGGAACCTCTCCGTGGAAACGGAACGGTTTTTCATGTCCTCCAGGAAAAATCTTTATATAACGGAATTTCTGTGAATTTAATGCAATTGGCAGAGAGATGCGAGATGTTCTTAATGAAATGAATGCATCAGCAAGCCTTTTTTAAATTCTCTATCCCTGCGACATGCGATAGAGTCGTGGCAGCAAGAAATTACAGGAGAGCGACTAAGCTGACAGCGTAGAATTCGACCTTATCTTTCAAGGCGTAGAGCATAAGGGAATTCCTTCTCTCCCGACTCTGAGCGTGGGAATGTGTACGGGCATGGTTTCTGTTCGCGTTTCGTTTTCCCGCGTTGAAAATCGTAACCCCTCGATATGTATTGCTTAAGGTCGTACGAGGGTATCAGAAAACCACATATAAAGACGGCACCGATTTTCACTGTTTTATAATTATAGAACCAACATATTCCTTTTAGAATATTTTCATGTAAATACAGAAAAAAAACACTCAAAAAATAAAAGATAAGATTATGCCAGTAGAAACGGACTACATGAGACAATGCTAACAACTTACTTGTAGGAATAGGATTGCGAAATAAAGAAATATGGAGAAGAATGAATATAATGTGTTCTTTTATGTAGGCTTTGGATAATAAAACACTACAAAGATATGTACATGTTCAGAGAATGTCGGAAAACAGATGGCCACACAAGATCTTTAAGTGGCAACCACTTAAGAGGAGGAGAAGTTTTAGAATGGGAAAAATACATCTAGGAAGCTATGGGGGATCGACATTCCAATATATATATATATATATATATATATATATATATAAATTGAGTAACCAACTATTAAAACTTATTTCATTTAAAGGGTTAATTAAATTTTGTAGTTGTACGAAGATGCCCAAAAAAATTTCAAATTTTCTAAAATTCAGTTATCAGTGACAAAGCATCTATGCCGTATTTATAAGTACTGCACACGATTCTTACAACAACAACAAGAGGGGGAAATGGAGTCATATTTGATAATTTGGAAATTGTCCTAGGGGCTTCTTGAAAAGTGCCCTAAAAAATTAAAGAATGTTATACAAAATCGTTGGGCCAGATCGACTTAGTAACATTCAGTTTGGAAAAAATCCTATGCATAGTTAGTTTGGGCGCTAGTATTACTTGTTCACAGACGACGGACGGACGTTTAAAAACACTTTTTCTGTATCACGGGACCCCAAAACGTACATGTGTGTGTGTGTGTGTCGACATTTTCTCAAATTTTACAACGTAATTTGCACACTCAAGTTTACTCTTCTACAATATTCTTAAAGTCATATTGTAGGTCAAACATTAGGGATCGAAAAATTGAACAAATATGAAATTAGTGGTGCTACGCTATGAATGGCACAGACTATCCCGTATTCATTTACTATTTCCTTTGGTCTCGCCGAGCTATTCGGACTTGCCATGTACTCTCACCAGCTACCATTATAGCCGCCCAAAGAAACTTTTTTCGAAATTTTCTCGATTTTTCGGTTTTCTTCTACTAGAACAGAAATATTATTTTAATATGGAATAACAATAAAAACTCGACCTGATTAGCAATTTTCTTTAACAATTTTGGAGCTGTTTTTATGAAAATGGCGTTTAAGCACTTCAGTATATTTGAAATGACCTTTTTTTCACAGCAAATTTTTGAGTTTTAGAAAAACTTTATTAGAAATCATTTAACGCACATTAATTCACAAACATAATAGTGTTTACAAATTGGTGGAAATGTGCATATTTACGGCATATGGGTGAGAGATCTTCCAAAAGATTTATATTTGTATCATTTTTGAAAGAAAGAAAATAACCCAAAATGACTTTGTCATATTAAACAATGCAGTTAGCACTATCCCTTCGAAAAGTTTGAAGGAAAAATTTCTATCTGTTTTTGAGAAAATGGCGTTTGAGAGTTTCTGAAAATGCGGAATTTTGAACTAGTTTTCACTGAAAACTGTTGAGTTTCAAGAAACTTCACATTTTACATTATTTAAAGCACATGTACTCATAAATATAATTATAGTAGTAGTAGTAGTAGTAGTAGTAGTAGTAGTAATAGTAATAATAATAATAATAATAATAATAATAATAATAATAATAATAATAATAATAATAATGAGAATGATAATAATGAGAATGATAATAATGAGAATGATAATAATAATAATAATAATAATAATAATAATAATAATAATAATAATAATAGTAATAATAAATCGCTGTTAGTGAAAATACTTCCAATGTGACAGACGAGTCCAAAAAATTAAATTTTTCTAATTTTTGAAGAAACAAAAGGATAGGGCAAAATGGTGTTGTTGTCCTTATAGGGAGTGCATTTAGCACTATCCCTACCAAAAGTGTAAAGAATGAAGTAATGAAGTTGGAGACGCTTTTGAAAAAATCTTGTTTTTGTAATTTTTTAAAATTGCAAACTTATTGCACGAAAACATTTTTTTTAATGTACATGACCTGTACAGTAACTCCAAATTTTGAGGAAAGTTGGGGCTTCGATGGAGCCAGATCAGCGGGGAATAACCATTTTGGAAAAAAAACGTACTTATGGTTTAGGTGGTTTAGGTGCTAGTGGTGTTCAGACTGATTGATGTACTGACCTTTTTGAAAAATAACACCCCATCACAATTTTATATTGGCATTGAGATACTGTCAAACATGATGGGTTTGATGCCCAGCATGGACTTCCCATCTATTATATACTATTATCTAAAAATATTCCACAGTTGCCATGACTTATGGAATGACACTCATATTAATAGAGGAATTGGCATGTGATAATTTGAATGCCTCATTTCAATTAAATTATTAAGGGTGCATAAAATTAAGAAAAATTAAAAGAATAGTGCTGAATCCCAATGAATAAAATATTAATATTACAGTAACTATTATTATTATTATTATTATTATTATTATTATTATTATTATTATGATTATTATTATTATTATTTTTCTACCTCTTGTAACTAAGAGCATAACTTCAACGTTGATTCACAGGTACTGGAAACAGGTTATGCCTGCTTCTTTCATTTTTTAATTCTTTGTGATGGGAATGAAGCGCCGTGGAATGGGAAGAAGACAGGTGTTGAATTTAAACGACAAACAAGATTCTCCTCGTCGAACTTGGCAAAGTAAAGCATGTTTTCAGTAAACTTTTTAAGACATTTTATTATTACTGCATAAACATTTATTATTCAGGTATAATAGAAAATTGTAATTGTGTTTAAAGTGTGGTGTTGAATTTTGAAATTTGACTCATTAACATGAAAATAGTGTATTAGTGAAATAAGAGAGAAAAATGAATATAAAAATTAAGAACTGTTTTGGTTACAAAGAAATCAAAATACAATAGGAGCTTAAGAAATAATTTTTAAATATATTTAATTTTAAATAAGAGTTCTGTTCAAGTATCGTAGTAAATGAATCTGTTGTATGTTATTTTTGTACTTGCTGACTTTCTTGTTAACTTTTTTAGCAAAATATCAGCAAATATGTTCAGACAACAATCAGAATGGTACTTATTCAGAAGTGATATCTTCTACATCTTCAAAAAGCCCTATAAAAAATAATCCTTTAAGTGGCCTTCTGGGTCATTATTCTGACAGTGATACTGAAGATGATCCAAGTAAAGATGCCAAAGATGATCTGACCAGTCAGGTTTCTGATTTCATGAAGGTAAGATGTTCCTATTTGTTTGAATAAAACTATACTTAATAATAATAATAATAATAATAATAATAATAATAATAATAATAATAATAATTATTATTATTATTATTATTATTATTATTATTTTATTATTATTATTATTATTATTTTATTATTATTATTATTATTATTATTTTATTATTATTATTATTTTATTATTATTATTATTTTATTATTTTATTATTATTTTATTATTATTATTATTATTATCAATAAAATATGAACATAAACACTCTAGAATTATTGGTAATTGGTGGACAAAAGGAAACAGTGCTTTGATCATTTTTGTGATTTAAAAAGATTTTTTTTTATGGTCATATAACGATAATAATTATTGGTTCATTGTGTTTAATTTAAAAAACAACAACAAAGGTTCATGTTTTTTAGGAGTTTAGAATGACAGAGAAATTTGACAAATAAGTCAAATGATGTCACACATGAATATATATTACTTGTAACTAAACACATTTAAGCACAAAACGCTTTGGTTGTTGTCATGCCATCGTGAGTCACCACTGCTCTTTTAGGCTTGAGAAAGGGTTTCACAGAAATGATGATTGATGAAACAAACTACATGGCAATTAGTTAATAAACTGTCATCTTGCTTAGTTTCTGATTAAAACACCTATTTTTGAAGAAAAAGTTGTTTTGACCATGTACTTTTAAATTCATATTTATGTATTTATTGAAAACTTTTCCTTTGCAATAGACTTCACATAGCATCATGATTAAAATTTGTCTTTTCACAATGGACAAACATTTTTTAATTTAACTTTTCAATAATTATAAAAATAAAAATTTACTGTAAAACAATAAATTGCTATCTGTGAGAAAGCAAAAATTTTAACTGTAATACTTAACATTAGGCGTAAAAATAAACTATTACTCTAAAACAGATCCATAGGCTATTTAAAACGGACCACTTTCATGGCTGGTAGCTAAATTATCGCTAGAAACTTTGACAGGGTAACCCTCTTTGAACCTGATTTAGCACTTTTATGTTCAAAAAGGACATGTCTAGCAAAGTAATTTGGAGTAAGTTTAGGTGTTTAATTGTAGAGAAATAACAGAAAAAAATCTTCTAAAGGGAATATAAAGAACATAAATTCTTTTAGTTGTTCCTCTGTCTGCTTTGAAAGTAAGTAATTTCATATATGAATTCTTTCCTCAAACAGGAAATTCAGACAATTGCACCACCAGCTGAGCAGAGTACTCCTGGAACATTGCCAGAACTTCCTGTTATTGGCCCAGAAAAGAAAAAGGTGCTTGAAGTGCAACCTCAGCAAGTGTCTTCAATGGGTAGAGAGAAAACTACTTTATTCTTGTTTTAGACTATTTAGATGTCTTTTTCACCATTGTAGATCCTATTTATACTTTTTTTCATAATATCTTTTACTTTTGTAGCATGGCAAGAATGTTATGATGAAAACTCCGGCTATGCATACTATTGGAATATGGAAACAAATGAAGTGACATGGGAAATGCCTCCAGAATACCAAGCATATATGGAGAGTGTATCAGCAAGTCAAGAAAATATTTGGGCCCAAGACCATCATATGAGCATAGCTTACAATCCGCACAATCACTTAATGGCTCACCATCACCATGTACCTCATATGCCTCACCAACTTCATCCCCATCACCTCCAAGTTCCAGGAGGTGAGTCATATATTCTGAATTATTATAATTTACTAGAATTTTGTGGAGGATTAATTTGATTACTTTTCAGTACATTTCTTCTTTTTCTAATACTGGTATTTGGTTTCAGTTCCATCTGTGGTGGATGCCACTTTCATTGATAAGGTACATCCTCAAGGCCATGGGGCAATTGGAGTCGAGAATCAGAGCCAAAAATACAATAGCACAAATCGAGAGAAGAAAAAACGCATGAATAAGGATGTTGATTCAGATGATGAGTAAGTATTATGTCATCAATCAATGAAAATATCAATCTTTGAAAATCATATCGAGTTTTAAAACAGCTTATGTTAATCTACTTGTCTATCTAATTCAGCGATACTGAACCAAATGTTGTGTTTTTTCATATTGTGTTGAAGTAATTCTAATCATCAGGTGCTGCAGTATTGTCCATATTAGTTAGCTAATAAGTATTTTTAATTTAATAGTTATTTTAGTTAACTAGATACAATACAATTTGTCTTAATATTTTCTAATACAGCAGAAATGGTCTTGAATTTTATTCAGGAATGTTCTTTTATTATTTTACTTGGTGTCACTTAACATGTCTATAATTACACTTGTTTTGCTGGTAGATGCAGGTTCCTCCCAATAATAACTTGGGGCAGATTTTGATGACCTACATTTTTTCCCAAAATTATTTCAAAATTCCCTAAAAACAAAGAAAAATTACGTACAAAATTTGATCAAAACCACTTCAGATAAACAACTCAAGCTGTTGCATATGTTACTGATGTAATCGAGGCTTCTTCCTTTTGTTCAAGTGAACTCAGCCTCAAACTCTTCGTTTGGACTCTTCTTTTAAAGAAAATCTCTGCCTTCATTTATCATGAAATCAGATGAACTGTCAATGGCACCGACAGGCTTCATAGGAACCTTAGATTATGTAGATTACATAGTACTCACAACAGCTGCCATTACAATATATGAGCAAACAAATCAAGTAGACTACATAGGAACTCTGTGGTGAACATTTCTTGCATTTCGTAAATATTGTTTGACGCCACTACCATTTAAATGATATTATAATTAATGAAATTAGCGAAAAAACACGTGAAAATGACTTAAAAAAAGGTAAAAAATGACTTTTTACTAAAAATGGACAAAAATGTGAAAAACGACATAAAAACGGGTCATTTCGTTTCGTCATAACATAAAATGAATTTCTATACTAAAAAGCATTGTTCTAAAGTGAAAAGAAAAAATGATAACAATACATTAATATCTGCCCCCCCTAATAACTATTATTGATGTAAAGTTTAATATCTTTTTTAGACAACATTCTCCTTGTAAAAAGATTTCATCGTATGATCTACTTCCTTTTCTCTTCTACTTTTTTCTACTTCTCCTTCTGTCTACTTGGTTTTCTACTTATCTTCTTCTTCTTTTCCTCCTCCTTTTTACAGAACGAATGGTTTTGCAGTAGAACTAATGGAGAGCATTGTTGGGCACTAATGACCTTTTAGATATAATTTTTTTCCCCTTCAGTCATGAGCTAATAAAGGGATGATGGCTCTATTTTCTTTCAATTTTATTGACTAGGTGTAGATGTGTATAAATGATCTGAAGATGCAAACACAAAAAGAAATGTGCCTTTAAAGAAGCCAAGTTTTTGGACAACCTGAATAAATGAAGGCTTAACTTCAAAATATTGGAAACAAAATGATTTTGTAAGAATGTATTTTCTTTAATCCAGTAATGATAATTTAACGCCAGAAAAATGTTGATGTTGCAATAGGTACTTCACTTGAACAAAAGGAAGAAGGCTCGGTTACATCAGTAAGTAATACAGCAGCTTCAAGTTGTTTATCTGAAGTGGTTTTGATCAAATTTTTAGGGCATTTTTAAAGCATTTTAAGAGAATTTTATTGATTGTTTTTGTCATTGTGTTTGGTCATGAAAATCCACTGCCTAGTTATGTTTGGAAGTAAATTACAATAGAATACACTTGTTTCTACAATTTTTTCTATTTCCTTGTGTTATCCAAGTATTACTTTTCCATTAAATGTTTAATTTGTTCTTTTTAAGAGAAAAGTGTTTAATTGAAATAAAAGATTTGAGAAAAATACATTTTATATTTCATTTGTGTCAACAGCATCATAAACTACATTCCATGATTCCTGCAGCAAGTCTTCTAAATAATTATATTTCAACTTTAGTAAATAAATAGTTTCTGGTGTTAATGCATTAAATTAAAATAGTAATGGTAATATAATCTTACTTATTTGTTTAAAATACATTCTTCAACATCTAACATTGCATTCATTTAGATATTTAGTTTGAATATATAATATAATAATCTTATAAGTCTTAAATCTGAGTATTCTTTTAAATATTGGAATATGAATATGTTTCTTCACTGAAATATAGAGGTATTATTGTGAGGGAAAAATAGTTTTGATATGTTTTCTTGTATTTAATTACAGATCATATGAATAAGATTTCATTGCTGACCTGAATAAAAGTTTCTAGTTCCTTCCTTCGTTCCTTCCTTCCTTCCCTCCCTCCCTTCCTCCTTCCCTCCTTCCTTCCTTCCTTCCTTCCTTCCTTCCTTCCTTCCTTCCTTCCTTCCTTCCTTCCTTCCTTCATTCCCTCCCTCCTTCCTTCCTTCATTCCCTCCCTCCTTCCTTCCTTCGTTCCTTCCTTCCTTCGTTCCTTCCTTTCTTCCTTCCTTCCTTCCTTCCTTTCTTCGTTCCTTCCTTTCTTCGTTCCCTCCTTCCCTCCTTCGTTCCTTCCTTTCTTCGTTCCTTTCTCCCTCCCTCCCTTCCTTCCTTCCTTCCTTCCTTCCTTCGTTCCTCCTTCCTTCCTTCGTTCCTCCCTCCCTCCTTCCTTCGTTCCTTCCTTCCTTCGTTCCTTTCTCCCTCCCTCCTTCCTTCCTTCCTTCGTTCCCTCCCTCCTTCCTTCCTTCGTTCCCTCCCTCCTTCCCTCCTTCGTTCCTTCCTTCCTTCGTTCCCTCCCTCCTTCCCTCCTTCGTTCCTTCCTTCCTTCGTTCCTTCCTTCCTTCGTTCCTTCCTTTATTCGTTCCTTCCTTCGTTCCTTTCTCCCTCCCTCCTTCCTTCCTTCCTTCGTTCCTCCCTCCTTCCTTCCTTCCTTCGTTCCTCCCTCCTTCCTTCCTTCGTTCCTCCCTCCTTCCTTCCTTCCTTCATTCCTCCCTCCTTCGTTCCTCCCTCCTTCGTTCCTTCCTTCGTTCGTTCCTTCTTTTCTTCTTTCTTTCCTACTTTATTGTTATTTGTTTTTATTTATTTGTAATAAATGTCTTGATTAAAGTGTTTATTTTACTAGTAAGTCAGCTTTTGGACTATAACAGGTGAGCAATATACAAATGGTTGTGATGTTTCTATTAATTATTTTGGTGTTTGGTCACACATTAATATTTTATTTTGTTCTCAAATGTTTAACCCTCTGCACTCGTATGCCGTGAGCGTAATTAATATCCTAGAGCATCTCTGAGATTTCAGAAGATTAATGGCTACCTGCTTGAATCAGTGTGCAAAGTAACATGTCCTACAAGTAATAGGGCTTCTGTCAGTTGACAAACCAAAATCCCCAATTGACACAGAAGGCATCTCTCAGATGGCCATGAATTCTGGTGTACCCAATAAAATTTTCAATGTTGAATAGAGTCAGATTTTTAAACAGTGCTGATGTAATAAGGTTATGATTATCATACACTTTGACATTTTACTGTTTTCAAATAACTATGTGTAATATTGCAGAAGGCAAGTGATTCTAAAACAATGAGTAATATGGATGAATTGTATGTAGAACAAATATTAGAAGGCTCTGATTCAGAGAGTGATGTGTTTTGTGAAACTTCTGAAGACATTTCTTCCAATGCCAACAATGATAATAACAGCAAGGAAAATAATTATACATGACAACTCTAGTCTGTTGGATATCCCAAATACATAGAATTTTTATTGAATCCAGGTTATGTTTTAAAGACAGCCAATCCTCCTTTAATTCACTAGAATTTTTTCAGCTATTTTTCTCTGATAAATTGATAAACACTGTTCTGGAAGAGACTAACCGGTATGGGCATTAAAAGGTGTTAAAAAATATGCCATTCATGTAAAGAAACATGTGGAGTACATGGTAACCTGTAAAAAATCATGTATTTGAAGTATTTTTAGATGCAGCACTGAAAGTGGCTTTATGAAATAAACCAGAAATCCATGATTATTTTAGTTCAAATTGATTGGAGCATCAACCATTTTTTGTTAATATTTTCATGAGGGAGAGAAACACATTGGAATCTTCATGATTTGTCATTGTTTCAGGCAGAAAACAGACAAGTAGTTTCGAAAAAAAAATAATTTTTGGCTTCCATTGCTTACACGTTGTACAAACTACATGGGGCAGGAGTGCAAACACTGTATCACACTTACATTTACCACTGCAGGCATCATTTTAGACAACTGCTGGATAAATAGAATTTTCCATTCCCTTTCTCCCCAAAATCATCATGACTGTCATGTTTGCAGCAACTGAAAAAATCTGATGGAAAAAACAATTTTTTTCTCCATCTTCAAAAATAAGTGAATTGTTCATTTTTAACTTCCAAATTTAAGCCTACAAAGCACCTAAACAATGAACTTTATTTATAGCATTTATTGTTTACTTTTATATCAGTAAAATAGTTTTGAAAGATGTATTTAATTAAGTATTGATTCCATATGAAGTTTCAAGTGTCAATTAAATATAAAATATGAAAAAAGAAATTGAATAATAATAATAATAATAATAATAATTTTGCGGACGATTGCCTACCATGATTGGCAAAGTTTAGAGTTTGAACAGAGGCTTGTAAAGTGTCTGTTAAGCCCAAAGTGGTCATTTGTAATTGCTATCTTGTGAGATGGGACATCGTGGTGCATGGAAACCGAGCCCAGAGCATATCCATGTGTGTTGTTATATAAAAGATGCAGAACAAGTGCAAAGGGTTAAAGAATTTGCAGGAACCAGATGCCATCGGTTTTTCTAAGTGGTATTTTCTCCTCTCAGAGTGTATTAACTAGCTTTATATATCCAGGCAAATTTAATTAGCAATTTCAAAAAGAGAAATGTTATATCTAAGATATATTTTACACTTCAAGAAGAATAAAATTAGTTTGTAGCAATATTTTCTGTACATAATTTAATTCTTTCTCTTTATAATCAATTGTTTCTGTTTAGTTGTTTATTATTATTTCTTTCACTTAGGTGTTTTTATTGTATTTTTATGTTCAGGAAAATTGAAATGATCACATCTTACGGGCCTGCTTCTGATGAAGATTCTGAAGAAGAAGAAGATGATGATGATGAAACGAGTTCACCAGAAAAAAAAAGGAAAACAACTGAGGGAAGCTCCAAATATTTAAAAAATAAAACTTCACTACCAAAGTCAACCAGTTCCGTTTCCTCAGGACCAGAGGTACAAATAGGTCCAAATCCGCTGCCTCTTACTGAAGCCTTGGCTTTAAGGACTAGTGATGATAGTGTTGGAGTTGACGAGTTCAGTGGCTCATCATTATTATCAACTCATGTGCAGGATTTAGGTGCTCCAGGTGATGATGACTCCCGGGGAGAAGACTCTCCTCTGGCCATCCAATTGAAAAAAGATTCTTCTGTGTCTAAAGTACATCAAATAAATAATTGTGAATCTCAGTTAAAGCAAGACCAATATGCTGTACCTGATTCTAGTGGAGAGAAACTCAAATTAGACGCAAGTTTAAGCAGTGTGAAACCTAGTTCATGTGATGTTTCTTCTCAACAACCCAAAGTATCTATCTTTAAGGCTGAAGAAAGAGAACATGCAGAAGCTACTGTAAGACCTGAAACTTCATCTCCTCATTGTACTGAAGCAGAAATTGAGTTGGAAAATGTAGACAGTGAAGAAAAGGCTATACTCTCAAAACTCAGAAAGCAAGCGTGTTTGCTCAGAGAGCTGGGTGGTGAGGTACCAGATGAAGTGCAACATTTGATAGAACCTGGTACATCTGCTTCTCCGCTGCAAGCAGATGATGTAATTGCTCAAATTGAGAAAGAACTTCCTCCTGACTACAAAACAAATATTGGAAAAACGGTGTCCCAACAGGATCAGACACAGAAGAAAAAACAAGTTACCTCTACTAATAAAAGTGGCCCAAAGATTTCTTCTTTTGCATTAATTGCAGGATATGGTGATGATGGAGATGATGGTGAAGATTCTGAACCTGAGGTGGAAAAGCCAAGCCAAGGAAGTTTAATCAATGAAGTGGCTAATGATAAGAAGTTAGAAAAAGTTTCTCTTTTTCCAATAATAGGTTCCTCTGAGAAAGCAGACACAGAAAATCATGTGGAAAGTGAAATAAAATTAGTGGATAAATGTAATGACTTGGTAAACGGTTTATCCATTAATGATTGCACTAGTGCAGCGAAATTATCTACAGTTTCTGAGCCAAGTGAAATGGTGACTTCAAATACATTAGCCTCATTGGAATCAAACTTGCCTGACTCTACCACTAGTTGTAAATTATTTAAACGTAAAAAACGTTTAGATGTTGAGGTTCTGCCGGCTGTGAGTAGTAAACAGACAACAGTAATTACTCAGCCTGCTGATAGTGAAATTGAGAAAAAATCTTCATCAGTGGCATTAGTTTCTTCAGTTGTATCTTCTTCTGCAACATATCCTTCATGGCCTTCATACAGTTTAGATCCTTGTTCAAGTGAGCGACGAGGTTTTGGGTTCCAAACAGACCATGAAAATCTGACAGTTGCAAAAGTTGAAGCAGATGATCGAAAAGCTAGTAATGACAATGAAAGGAAAGGAATTACACAAAAGAAAGGCATGATCAATTTTGTTAAAGCAGATGTACTAAATCCAGAAGTTCATCCTAGTCTTGAAATTGTGGAGCAAGAAGAGGCTGTTGAAAAGTTGCCTCTGCAAGATGAACGAAAAGGTTGGTATTTGCCTATACAATTTAGCATTAGAAATATATATTAGCAGTTAGATGGAAGAATATACAATGAAACCTATGTTAAGTGGTTGCTATCTGGCTTTTTAAAGAAAGAAACCGATTCCATTTTTAGGGAACTTAACTCGCTATGAAATGAGATTTGAAGATGCATTTACTATCTTGTAGATACTTAACAGCAGGCTATCAAATGAATGAGTCAGTTTTACCGAGGGGGAGCAGGGATTTGCAATATTTCATAAGAATATCTCAGAATGAGTGAAGCAAACAGATAATTTCATGAAGGGACATTTTTTAAAAAAATCGGTGGATATCTATAACCCAAAGTAATCCCCCACTGAGTCAATAGTTATCTTCACTGCTCTTCTACGTGGAGGTGGCCGTTTGAGTTTGAGACTGGGGACTTCCCTACAGAAGAAAAAGTCTAAACTTGAAAGTGCAAATAGAGAATTTGTTCACTTGGTGTTTAAGAATCATTGCTCTATAAGTGTGCGTTTGTGGGGGGGGGGGGGGGAGGGGCTAGGGTATTTTGTGTTTTAATAAGAATTGGGGAGACATGTCAATTTCTTGGTAAATGACAGGTTTCATTCCTTTATTCTCAATAGAATAAAAGTTATCAGGACTTTAGTCCAAGTCCATTAGCCTGTTTACGTTCAAGCACTTCAGTACAACACAAACTTACACATGGTTCCTCCTGTTGTTTTTTTCTTTCTTTTTCTGAGAAGGCTGAGGAAGGGTCTTGCAATGGTTTGCTGCAGCACTTCTTCCCTCCTGCTCACAGTGCACTCCAGTTACCTGTTGGTCTCTGGAAGTGGTGTTCTTTCAATTTTTTAGTCATCAGAAGTTCAGGGTCTAGGTCATTCTGCATGACTTGCATAGTTTTCTTCTCGATGCTTCTTGATACTAACAAAGCCTCTGTTTCCCATTCTTTGGTCAGATTTAATGACCAGCCTCATTAGTGGGTCATTTTGATGACTGACTGCATAGTTTCCCATCCTAACTATTGCTTGATGCCAGGAGGCTTCAATTTAGCTGAATTATTAATTAATCTTCCTTATGCAACACACAAAGTCTATGTACATCAGTTTGAGGTTGGGGACATGATGCATTGTAAGCAGTTTTCTGGGTTTTAGATCCACAATTCAAATTAGGTCGAAACTATGTCGCATCCCTAGTCCAAACCACTAGCCCGAAACTGTACTTGGCTATAGGCACTGCCAAACTCCCAATTGGAGATCTTTTATTTCTTGAGTTCAAGTGGACTGCAGGACACGTCTCACTCATCAGTAATACTCCCCGTGAAACCTCTATTTCATTGTATCGTTCGTGAGGTTTTCACATTCTTCAATGCCCAGATATTTGAAAGTTTTATCTGGCTCAAGATCTTGAATCACAGTGTGCTTATGAAAATCAATGCTCTCTGACATGGTCATTTTCTCTCTTTAAATTGACTTTTGCACATTTGTGTAGACCAAATTTCATGCTGATGTCATAACCAAAATCAGTAATGAGAAACAGAATTGCGAGAGAATTGTTTCATTCATATCAAACATTTTAAGATCACTCATGTAAAACAAAAGTGATACTGGTCTTTAATCACCATGGAGCTTATAACCAAAGTCTGTGCAACTATCTCGGTAGGAGAATAAAACTTGTGCAAAACAGCAGAGATGATAGCTGATTTCCTGGAAAGAACCCCTATTAATCTGTATATTTCTTGTTTCTAATTCTTCTTTTCCGCTGTGTATAAGTAAACCAGTTCTCCATGACTCGATACAACTCCTCCCAGACTTCATGACTCCTCTTTGCTGAACTCAAAAAGTCTAGGATGAAATCGAAAGATCTCCAGGGTTTTCAAAACCTAATGTTGTGGTACACTGCCAAAGGCCTTCTCGTAGTCAATCCAAATCGTGCTCAAATTATGTTTTTGTATCCTTACATCATGCAAAACGCCATTGTCTTTTTGGCGATTTTTTCTCCAAGATATCATTGGAACCTTTACGTCATCCTTTCTGTTCAACTGGCAAAAGATGGTACTTCCCCAATTGTACGTTTTGTTAGCTATGGCTGCAGTTATAACTTTGTACGTAATTGCCAAACAAGTTATTGGCCTGTAGTCCTCCGCCAAAGAACCGTCTCCCATTTTGGGTGGCATATACGCGACATGGTGAGTTATTTTAGGTTTTCTAAAATTTTATCAACCTCAACTTTGCTAGATGAGAATGTAATATTGTTAATTTCTTAATCCAGTAATTCTGGATCTTATCAATTCCAGGGGATTTGCAGTTTCCCATGTTCTTAAATGCTTGGAAGAGGCCCTTTTCTGAGAATTCATGAACTCGTTCAATTGTTTCTAAAAGTTCATCGGCAGCTTCCACTTCAGATTGGAGCCAAGATGAGTCTTTGTTGTAGGGTCTCATTTCTTCCCAGATGCCTGCTCAAATATTTTGATGTCCTCTTTTTCCCTTTGGTTTTTTGAGTCAGATTGTGATAGAATCTCTTCAAGTCTGTTTTAAAACAACCGATTCTGTACATGGAAATCTATTCTATGTTTATAATGTCTAATGCAGTGAGCCCAAGCTTGGATTTTCCATTTTAGCTTCTTGGCTACCATTAGCCTTGTTGGGTCATTTTAAATTTGGTATTCAACCCTTACCAAATGGTAAGGGTTGAATACCAAATTTACACAAATTATTCCCAAATTTACCAAATGGTAAATTTGGTTTTGTCGTTCAACGTGGTGTATTTTTTGTTGAACTTTGGAGGTGTGGGTTTGTTTAGGAGATTGGTTAAGAGTTATATTTCACCTCAAGTGTCGGCTATCCATTTCATAATTATTGTTGTCCAGAGGGGTACCGAGATGTGTACTATATTTCGATATAAACTGAGTGGCACTTCAAGGTCAAGAGTTGGAAGGAGAGGGGGACATTGTCATCCAGCAGAGATCTCCAATACTGTGATCTCCAAATGTGTCGAAAAAAGCTTCCGATTGGATGGCAGTGTCTAACATGGCTCAAGGGGCTACTCAAGTTCCACCATCAAGTATAAGGTAGTGTACTACCTAGGTAGATATTATTATTATTTATAGTGAGACCATTAATCGTGAAGGTATTGAACCTTGGCTTCTCATCCCGTTGTAGTATTTCTCCTGGAATTCCATCAGGCCCTACAGCATTATTTCTCTTGATTTTAACGATCCTTGTTCTAATAATTTCTATATCAGCTCAGAAAGTTTCAATTGCGGGTGTTATTTATGTTGGTTTGAAAGTGTGCTGAAACACTTAGTACATCCACTGAAATAAGTTTGGCTCTATTTTGGCATATACAAGGGTTGGATAAAAAGTAATGATGTTTTTCTCTGAAATGACTATTGACTATTTACTCACTCAGTATAATCACCTCCGTATGTAAAGACCTTTTGCTAAATGTTTGGAAAGCGTCATACACCATCTGCTCGTCTATTTCTGTTGATGTCCCATGTTGACCGCCGTATAACATGAATAATTTCTTCTCTCGTGTTGTACCGGGTCCATCGCAGTACTTTCATTTTGCTGAAGAGATCATAATCACAGGGACTAGTCGGGTGAGTAAGGTGAAGAATCTCGAAACTTGCGTTGTCATGAAGAATGATGGACTGTTCCGTGAAATGTTGCTTTCACCTGATCGCTGCACTAAGGTGATTTTGCAGAAATGTGCAATAGTAGGTAGCGTCTGTTGCACTTTAGAAATTTCATGGGGTATCCAATGCGCTGCAATTCTGTAGTAATCCTGAATGTCGAACAGATTGTGCGGCACACCTTTGTGGCATACTCCTTCACATGTAGTCCATTGGCATTTCAACATTCAACAAAACTATTACTTATAATACATCAGAATTTCAGATGTAATTGCCAAACTTTTGTTTTGGAATCAAAATGTTTTATAAATACAGTATTTAAATTGTTATCAGCATTTTTACATGCCAGTTGATTGTGTATTGTTTGTTGAAGTGAGAGTTTCCTGCAAAGGAATGAGCAAGTTACCCATTATGTACATATCTCACCTCCCTTAATATTCTCATTCCATTTGGGAAATTTCGTGACAAAATCGATATCCATGCTCATCACTCATATCGCTCAAATTGTGAGGAGAAATGTCCAAATGGCAATCCAGGAATTGCAACTCTAACGACTTTCGGCAGCCAAGAGCCTGAGAATCATGAGCCAAATCACAAAAAAATTCCACAATTCGTTTTTTTTTAAATTTTCAGGAAGCGATCACATACATCTGAAAATTATTTACATGTTCCTAGTCCACATTGTTCATTTTTGTTTAAAAATCTGAATTGTGAAGGAGGTTCCTTAATTGAGACCCTTTAAAATGCCAACGCTAAGCTTAGCATTAGTAATATTGATAAACTTTTCCCCTAAGTACTTAATGCTTTACTTTTACTCCAAGAACTTAACAAACGAGCTTATTAATCTATGTTAAATGTGTAGTTTGGGAAGAATATTTTGTGGTTGAACTAGTATTGATTGCTGTTGAGTGCTAATTTATATTCTGCGAAAGTATATTCAAATAGAACATTACAAAAAACAATGATATATTACAAAACTGTTTACAACACTTTTAAAATGTTTATAACTACTATTTACAACACGTTTTACAATGTTTAAAACCACTATTCACAACACACGTTTTAAAATGTTCAAAACGTCTATTTACAAAACACTTTAAAATGTTTAAAATATCTATGCAAAAAACTTCATCAACTACCGATTTCTACTGAGCTCTCTATGGAAGTCGATGCCAGTCAGATATCGCCTTCGAACAAAAATTCGTCGTGGACGTTCCGTCCACTTCTACTTCTGAGACTTACCTTGAGCCAACCTCCAACCCCGTAGATCTCGGTTAATTGTGTCAAAAACAGGTAAATTCTCTCGACACGGGCGACTATCTCCTGTCAAGATGACTGTAGTGGACGAGGTATCCCATACGAGCTCGTC